GTATCCTAGCTCAACATCCAGGTCACACAAAGACAGCATGAGAGAGATGCTGGCTGGGGAGGAAAGACCGAGAATCTTCACCATCACCAGGAGCAGAGCCACCATGCCTGAGGGCACCCCTCACAAGGGCCTTGAGGCAGAGGAGAGACATCCCTGGCCTCAGGTCCCCTCAGTGGCCTGCTACAGCCAGAAACAGAGGAGGCAAGAGCCTGGCTCTACGTCCCATGGCAGACCTGAGCTACATGTGGAATTCCCACCTTTCCATCCACCTAGCCTGCAGGTCCCTCCCACTGGCTGCCTGATCATGGGCCACCTGGGCACAGGTGCTCTTTCTCATGCTTCTCTACTTGCAGCTGTTGCAAAGCAAAATGCCTTGCATCACGCAGCCCCCTGGACTGAGGCCCTCTGTTAATGGGAATCTGTGTGTTGGGGATAAACAACCAATGTGCCCATTTTGCATGTATGCAGTCTCTCTGACCCCACCTGAGGCACAGTGGCTTTCAAGCCCACTCCCAAGACCTGCCTGAGCTTCCCCCCTTCCCACCCTCCAATCATGAAAAAGGGAAGGAAAAGAAAAACTCAGAAACCTGAAGATTGTTTGGAATTTATTCTTAAGTAAGAAGGTAACATTTGTTAAAAAAAAAAAATTAAAAGCACACCTTGGTTTCACAGTAACAGGAAAAACACGGTTACACAATTAAATTAAAAACTCACAAAGAAACACACCAAAAACTCACAACAGCACAGGTTCAAAATGAGGGCAAAAATAAAGGCTTTAGGAGAGGTCAGAGTAGACAGGTGTGTGTTCCCTGGCACAGCTGACCCTGCTCTGGCTTCTGCCGCAGGAGTCAGTCTGCTGCCTCCCCCACCCCCCCAGCTGAATGGCTCAGGGAAAAAGTGGACCCCTTAACTCACAGGTCAGACCTTCAAGGTGGGGCCCCTTTTAGGAGGGCCTAAGAATGTCCACTGTCCTGCAGAAAACAGCTAAAGACACACTAAACCCCAAAAGACAGCAGAAAGCTGCAATAACTAGCCGAGAGGAGTCAGCACACAGCCTGGAAGCCAACAGGAAGGTAGTGGGCTTGGTCCTCTCTCCCAGTTTGCTCTCGAGTCAGTTTTCTGAGACTGGGGTGTGTGTCCACTGCTCATTTCTGAGACACCCACCCCCAGACGTCCCCACCTGTACAGGTGCGCTGAGCTCCTGCTGCTGTGTTCCCCTGACACCCCGCCCAGAGCACTCGGCTAGGCCGGGGCATGTGCCCCAGTGTAAAATCTTTCTGGGCCTCCAGAGCCAAGGAACAAGAAGCTTTAGAAACAGCTCCATTTTTATCATTATTTAGGGTATGATGTATAAATAAATATCTACCCATTTACATGAAATTAAACCTATATACATATAAATGTGTACATATATATCAACATCCACACATCACCAACAGCAGCAGCTCTTGGGGCAGGGCTGGGGAGGTAAGCTGTACTGCAGAATTCTCTTTGCTCACTAAAAGGTTTTTCCAGCCATGCCCAGAAGGGAAGACGACTTGGGAAGCAGTAAAATTTCCTAACTTCCCTCTGTCTGGCAGAAATTCCAAGGTCTAATGAAATTCCTGTACCGCTTGGCTATAATCTAGCTAGTGTGGGAAATGCCTGCACATTTAAGGGCCTACTCAGGGTCCAAACTATGAAACTTCATGATCATCATGCAAGTGGTGCCTGGGGACAGGGAGCAGAGGCCTGCCACTTGTAGCTCTGCAGCTTTTTATGTGAAGGTGACCTTTGCCGTAAGATGACAAACCACTAACGTGTTTCTCCCTCCCCATCTCTCTGCAGCCTGCATTACAAGCGTTCCTGGATAGTGAACTCCTTAGGAAAAGCCTCGCTCCTCCCTTCTTATTATACCCACAGCCTCTACGCCTCATTTCTGGTCATGCGCTACATGAGATAAAAAGAGGAATGATTCCTCTGGACAAAAAAGAACCCAAAAAACCTGCAACTGAGGGTCTCACATCCAAGGGGAAAATAATCCCATTTGGCATTTTTCTTTCTCTGCCTGTTGTTCAAACTTTGTCCTATGAGGTCAGGGTAAGAAACTGTGCCAGGTCCACTAATCTGTATAAGAGGTTTGGAAACAAAGCATTTACACATTTGTGAGCAGAAAAGAGAACTTCTATATTAAAAGTACATTACAAACAAAAATACTGAAAACAATGACCCCCAAACACTAAATTAGGCAGCAATTCCAGATCAGGATACCTGAGAGAGACAACACTTCAAAGCGGACATAGCGTAGGTTCTTTTAACTTGTGGGTTATACTCTTTTTTTGTGTTTTTTTGGGGGTAAACAGCAAACATTTTGTGTAAGGGGAAGAGAAGTGTCACAAAATAATGAAGAGGCACAGAGTGAAAGTGCAGAGAGCCAGGTGTGGACCAAGTCACCGCCTTCCCGGCTTCACCCCCTGGGGTGTGGGCCCAGGAGGATGGCCTGGTCACACACGAGAGAACCAAGTTCATTCACTCGCAGCCTTTCCTGGTCTACAGTGAGTGGAGGAGATGCACGGTGGATCTGGGCAATGACTATGCTCTGTGACACACATTCTGGAACCCTGAAACACCTGAGCTTTTCAAAAGGAAACTCTAGTTAAGTAATCAAAGCTTTAAGTTTGGAATTTAAAGAAGGAAACCTCTATCAAAGGAGAAAGTGAAATCTAGTTTCTGCCAGCATAAGGTGTCACTCATAAAAGTGAGTCAGCTCCCAGGGAAAGTGCCAGTGCTTTGGCGGAGCACGTGCAGGACTCAGAGCTGTAATTTCCAAAAGCCTGCGTCTCCAGAGGCGAATACCAATGGAACTCCATCAACTCTGAGCTCTCTGGCCTCCGCCATGCCTAGAGGTCCCTGTGGCTGGGAATAGGCCTGCCTCCTTTGCCTCAGAGGCCCCACCCCCCACGACAGCTCTGGGATGCCACATCTTGAGCCCCTCATGCCACAACAGGCAGGCCACCCTCTAGCTCAGAATCAAGACCTGCGTGACTGAGATGTCCCCGGGGCTTTGATTCTTACTTGGTTGTTTTAATTCTTTAACCAATGCTCATCTTCTCTCCCTGCTTTATAGAACATTCTTCTTCTCTACAGAACGCTTAATTCTTTAGAACACCTAAAAACCTGAAATCCATTATGCCTTCAATTGGACAGTAAGAACGGCAACCTGACCCACATGGGAAAGGGGACAAACTCAGCTTGCTCAGGAATGACCTTAACTCCACTGTTTAATTCTTTTTTAAGAATGTTCTATAATCCATACCTGAAAGGAAAGTCTAATTTCTTTGAGTTGCTTTACTGAATAGTCAGATTCCTTGAAAAATCTCTCTCTGCTAGAATAAGGCCTAAACAATTCGGATGGTGCTCTCTCCTGATCCAATGCACACCCTACAGCATAAAGCCACAGTCTCTGTTACATCGCTCTGGTCATCTCTCTCTGCCAGCCAGTCCGCCACACTCTGACTGTCAGCTGCAAAGGGCTATCGCACTTCATGAGAAAGACAGATTATATAAAGGGCTTCAAGACTGTAGCAGGTTTATTTGTTTATTTTTGGTGGCTGGCCAGTACAGGGATCTGAACCCTTGACCTTGGTGTTACGTGGCTGTGCTCTAACCAACCGAACCAACTGGCCAGCCCATGTAGCAGGTTTAAAAGCCATTTGTGGTGTAGACATGGCTATGAAATGTTGTTTCCACCTGCAGGCCACTTTTCTGGTAAGGGCTCATGTAGTGGAAGAAGCAAAGTTCACCTGTCTTGGCTGGGGTTGCTGTGTTGGCCACCAAATCAGAGCCTCCCTCTCCCAGAATGAGCACCTCGTGGCTTTCGTTAACTAGTTCTTAAGCATAGGAAGTGACTCTGGGAACTTGGTACTGAAGTCCACACGGATAATTGTCCCTCTTCCCATCATGGAGATTCCACTACCAACTCCTTCTCCATGGTTTCTGGCATTGGCTGATCATCTTTCATTTTTATATGAGTTTGTAACGGCTGCTTGAAATATATTTGCTTTGAACGAAACAAAATGTGTGACAAACAGAAACACAGCTCCGTTATTTCCTCTCCCACCTACACAGTGACACCAGGCTGTGAACAATCTGGGGCTATGGTGGGGGCAGCAGGACCACTCGGCACTTTGCAGAACTGTGGACATATCTTACAGGCTACTTTACATGGAGCAGAGAGAGACAATTTTAAGGAAAAGAGCAACACATTTCTTCTCAACAGGTCTTGTGCCCATGAGCCCTCCAAGTCCTGCCCTGCTGTGACCAGAGTATGTATGTTTTTAGAGACAGAGATGGTGTGATTCACCTCCTGGCACAGGAAGTGATAGTGGAAGTGAAACAAATTAGAGCTTGACTCTCATTAGAAGTCCAAATGCCCCAAGAGGTCACGATGTCCTTTAAGGGAACAGGTCAAAAAGAAGAGCAGTGATGGCTTATCCAGACAGCTAAAAGAATAGGATGCCAGAATCTCAAGTTCAGGGGCACAGTCCAGAGCGTGGGCCCTAATTGGTATAACCCCACCTCTGTCAAAAGACTCTGAATGGGACTCTCGCTTGGGTTAGGGACAAGAGCAGCTTGTTTGGAATCCTGTCTCCCTAATGGGAGCTGGGCTGGCCTGCCCGCGTGTCTGCTGGGTGTGAGATGGGCTGCAGTGGCAGCGCTGCAGACTGAGCAAACCTGCCCAGGGGCGTGGGTGGTGCCTCTGGCCAGAGGGTGCCCTCACTGGCTCACAGGCTGCCAGTGAAACTCCCTTCTGATCTGGACCAGCACCTCTGACAGGCCATAGAGAAAGGGGACTCCGAATGCAAGCAGCTGGCACATGAAAAAGGAGTCCAAAGGGTTTTGGGCCACTTGATGCCCAATTGAAGAAATGTTGCTTTGGAGGTGCTGGCTCACCCCCTTGGCCTTGTCACAGAGGCCGAGAGAGTGATGCACCACCCAGCGAAACAAGGAAGTGAGGCTACCTGGGGCTCTCCCAGCCGAGCTGGCGGCGATGCTGGCCCGTCCGTGCACATCTGCAGCAGTGCCGTCCTGCAGGGGTCCTCCAGCCTCCTGGGAAAGTCCACAAGAGAAGAAGGTGACTCTGACTGGCTTGTCCCTGCTGATCATACCAGTCAATCACTCTCCACACAGTAAGTCTTTCTTTTAAAAATGGGGACATATTTCACATTGAAGTCGCCAAGAGTCAAAGCCTAGATCTACACAAGTATACTTTTCCCCACGAGTTCCTATGCAGTTAACAGAAGCCTCTCGAGGAAGCACTGGTCGGTCAGCCTGCATGCTGACAAGGGGCATGCACCCTGTTCACCCTGACAAAAATGGGTGGAAGAACCACTCATTTAAAAATAAAGAAAAAAGTTCTTAGGTACTTACCTTAACTCATAGAATAAAGTAACGAAAGGAATCGGCAGGCAGAGCAGATTATTTGCAGTGAGTTCCTTTCCAGTGTGGACAGCAAATGAGCATTTGCCCTCACACAAGGCAGAGGAAGGGACGCCCCTATGGTGCCTTTCCTCCCCTACCGCCTAATTACTTGAAAAGTGGATACAAAGTTCCTCAGCAGCAAGGTGTTCTTCTCTCAGAAAGATGCTTATTTACAAAAGCAAAAATCTTCTCCACACGAGTAGAGTGAGCAGAAGGGGGTCTGTATAATCTCCCAGATCCGACTCAGGTGATGGATGAAACATTACCTTAGCAAAGAGCAGCACTAGCTTATGCTTCAAAAGCTGGTTCCTTCCCGAAAATGGACTGTACCCACATCCCAGGCCCTTCCCCTCCCGGAAGAGTGGTGCTGCGCTGGCCATTCAGCAGGTTCCGCTCGGCCACACCTGCTCTCCCACTTACAGAGTGGGTTGCCATTACCTTTCCAGACAGGGGGGCCACTGCTGGTCTCTTCCTCTGTGCGTAGCCAGAGAGTCTGTGACAGTAGTGTGGTTTACAGTAGAATTTACCTGCAGAGAGCCAGAAGCAAGGAAAGGCAGTGAGCACGGCTCTTCAGTGCTGCCTGTGGTCCCTGTCGCCTTTGCCACTGCCCCAGCCTTCCCCAGCTGCCTTCCTGTCCAGGGGCTGGGCCCTCCCTGCAAACTTTGACTCCCTCTCTCCTCTCCTGAAGGGAGGGGTCTTTCCTTTGGGAACATGAAGTCCATGGAGCCATCACCCAATCAGGGCCCAGAGTGAGAACACGAGGCTTGTGTGGCAGGCCAGCAAACAAAAGTGTCAGTGTGTGCGGAACAAAGACGTGGTCACATGAGAAGCCGGGACAAGCATTTCCGGGGAAACCAAGGACAGGCACAAGTGCGGGTGGAGGCGTGAAGGCCGCGGGGCGCCGCACACAGCACAGAGAGCTGGACAGGGAACTGGACAGGCCCGCCTCTCCCGCAGCTAGACTCCCTCCCTCTCCACCATCCACTAGCCAGTGCTGGTGCTGCTGCAGGCAGGACCCGTAGGAAGTCAGGATCTGCACTAAAAACCAAGATAAAACAGAAACAGAAAATCCTGCAACGGACTAAGAGTAGAATGGAACAGAATAAAATGGAATAAAAAACAGAGTGCACTGTGGCATGATTAGATTTAAATATTATTTCTTAAAACTTTTGGCTATGTCTACTTGTGTTTACTGGGTCCTAATGTAACATGTGCTTCCTACTGGGGCTGTGGTCAAAAAAGTTTGATCTAAGCTTCAAAAAAGTTTGAAAACACTGATCTTGGCTTTTCTCATGACACTGGTAGCAGAATTAACTCCAAAAGAGTTAACTTTTTTCTGAGTCCCTTTACTCTCACTTAAAGAGCTAAGGCTTCTGAACATCAAATGATAGAAACTGCTGGAGCAGAAGTGATCCTGCCTCGTCCTTCCCACCTGTAGAGAGTGCTCCTTGGACAATGAGCTTTCCTGATCTCAAAGTTAAAATAAAAGGACCTAAGGGATCTGATTATTTTTCCTCTTTTCCTTCCTTTTTGCTTTCATTTTTCTTTCTACCTGCACTTCCCACTCCATGCTGAATACACCTACTAGTAAGACAAAGTTTACGAAATTTCATAGATTTCAAATACTATTCATAATACACGGTACGTTTTCCCAAACAGAATTTTCCACTAGCTATTGGCACTTAACCAGGACTCAGAGATGCTACATTTGTTGTCAGGAACACTTGACGACCACCAACCTCACTGCTCGTCTCTCAACAAGAGGAGTTGAGTCACGGGTTATGTTTTTCAGCTTGGCCACAATTTCCTTTTACAAGCTGTGATAAGCTACTCTGCTTTTGTGAATTCTGGCCACCAATAAACAATAAGACAAGATAAAATGTATTAGTACTCAGAGCATACACTACTTTTTTGGGGTCTGTTTTGCATCTCATATTTGAAGAAATACTCTCCCCCTTTTCCATGTGGCTCTGATGGGGGCTATCGACCATGTGGCCTGACATTACCCACCACAGAAGTGAAAATATGACCCAGGCTGGTAGATCAGAAAGCCCCCCTTCCCTCCACCCCACCCAAGGAGACAGTGCTCCAGAACCGGCCTGTGACTAAAGTCAGGCTAACCAGAGCCACGCTGAGGCTGTTGCAGACGGTGAGGGCGGAACAGCCCTTCTCTAAGACTGCTATCTGGAAGAACAGTATAAACCTGATGCTTAAACGTTAATCTGACTTGGGTTTCTCTTACTTGTAATGAAGGTCTTGTAGAAAACTACAGTTACCACTACTTTCATTCTTCTATTTTTTTCTTGCATTAATTCGCTTTTTTCTACTAAAGCGGAATCTTAAATATTAAAATACAGTTCAATTTAACTCAAGTGATTCCCCATTAGACCCTGCTCTGGTATCCTAAATTAATAAAGAAAAGAGGTTTAAATATCAGAAACAAGTCCCATAAAGCCAAACCAAAAGGTAATTTCTGAAAAAGTTCCAGAGAACTGTTTTCTCTAGTAAGATGGTACAACATGATGCAGGAAACGTGAGCACCAAAACCAGACCTCAGTCAAATGCTGCCTCCCTAGGCTCATGGCCAGGGGACTGCTGGCCTCCGTGGACATGTCTCCTCACATAGGAAATGAGCACAACACCTGTGTCACAGGTTGGAATCATTAAATGAGATCCCGTATATCACATGCTGTGGGTGCTCAGTTAATGTATCCCCTTATACTCCTTCCCAAAATCAACTTGAGGGCACTTTTTGCTTTTTAGATGAATAAAAAGAGCTAATTTTTATATAACATTTATCGTGTGCCAGACACTTAACTGCTTTACATCTATCAACTCATCTACTCTTCAAATGATCCAACCAGGCCGGTACCATTATTATCCACCATCTTGGACTGAGTGTTCCCCCAATACCTGACTCCCACTGTGACAGTGTTAAGAGGCTGGAAAATCCTATTATGGTAACTGAAAGGTGGGGCCTTCAAGAGGTGATTGGATTGTAGGACTGTGCCCTAGTGAATGGATTAACAACGGTGGTCACAAGCATGGTTTGGAGGGCTTTACAAGGAGAGAGCACGAGGAGGTTAGGCGCTCTCTGCTCTACCATTTCATCATGTGATACCTGCAACAATGAAGCCACCACCAAAGAAAGCTCTCACCAGATGTGTTCCCTGGACACTGGACTTCCCAGCCTCTGAAACTATAAGTAATAAATTTCATTTTCTTTATAAATCACCCAGTTCCAGGTATTTTTGTTATAAGCAACAGAAGCGGACTAATACACCCACCTCTTGCCAGCTGAGGCACAGACAGGCCAAGCAACCTGCCCAAAGTTAGTAAATGTCAGAGGCAGGATTTGAACCTAAGAAGCTGGCTCCAGAGCCTACACTTTTAGCCACTATATTACGATGCCTTTATCAATTAGTAAATCCAGCCATGCTAATATTATAAATTAATTACAAATGACGGATGATTCAGTCAAGTAACGCATTTTTGATGGTCTAGATTAAGGAATTTTGATAATTAAATATGGGAGTGACTGGAAAAGGGAATTGGAAAAAGCAGGTGGCCACAGAGTAAGCTGAAGGTAAACTAGGCCATTTATTCAGCAACTTATAGGGTGCCATCACATGACAGGTACTAATCTAAACACTAAGAGTCTGCCACTCAAGAAGACAGACAAGTTCCCAGTTTGGAAAGAGTAGACAATGGATGAGTCATTGCCACACAGCAGTGGCTACTGTGTGGAGAAGAACAGCAGGGTGTGCGACGGAACCTGGGTGGCTACCTCACATCAAGAAGTCTGGGAGTGCTCCTCTGCGGAGGGACTATGTGCAGATGTGAACGAGAAGAAGCCCACCCAAGAAGGCTGTGGAGACGGCTAGTGCGCAGCCCTAAGGCAGCAGGGGCCTTGCAGGCTTCTGAAAGCCGTCAGTATGGCAGGGAGGCTGCGGCGGCTGTGTGAAGCTCGCCCACCAGGCAAGGGCTGCGGGTTCTGACTACACTGCAGTGGGCTGTGAGGTAGAAAGCAGGAGATGGGCGAGATCTGATTCACACCCTTTTAAGATGCCCGGGTCACTTTGCAGAGTAGTCTGCAGCAGCAACCTGGCGGTAGGGAGACCAGCAGAGCTGGGGAACAGCTCCTGAGGACTGCCCCCGACAGGCCACCTTACCAGGGACTGTGTGTTTTCTCTCCTCAAGATGACAAACAAAGACTGGACATACTGTCTGATTTAGAGTCCTGTATTAAGATTTGGCAGCAATCAAAAATGAGCTAGTGTTTGGCAAGAGAAAGAGGAGCTTTCTTTTGGACAGACTGCACCCTGTAAGAGAGGGAGTAAGCAGCGACAAGGGACGCACAGACACAGCTTGAAGTCTCAGAGCCTCAATTTACCAGCGTAGAGTTGACAATGGGCCTGGAGTCACTAATCCCTGAATCTCTGACCTGGAATGGATCTCAGAGGTCATTTAGTGCAAACCAGCACTGACTAGCTGTGTAAACTTGGATAAGCAACTTCTCTCAACTCAGTTTCCTGATTTATGAAATTATAGTAATAAAAGCAGCTACTTTATGGGGTTGTGAGGACAAAATGACATGGTATGTGTTCAAGGGCCCAGCACAATGCCTGGGTTATTTCCTTTCTCCCGAGTTACCGTTTCCCTTGCTTTTTCTTTTTCTATCTGGGACTCTTCAGTTAGATTTCTGAATCATTCCACCTGTCCTCTGACAAATGAGGGGTTGCTCTGTGCAGGGACTAAGCTGATGAAACTTTTATCCGGGTTAAAATTTGGGGAGCTGGTTACACCCTATGTTCTCCTTGCCCTAGTGTCAAGAACAATGCACTCGACGCGGCCGGCTGCAGCCTGCCCCGACCTCACATCACTCCCCCTCAGCTCCCGTCGTTCCCTGGCCTGGCAGGCCATCCCTTCCCTCTACTTAGCCATTTCTTACTTCTCTTTCAAAGTCTAGCTGAAGGTCAATTAAGTCATTCCAAACTGCTCTTCAACTTCACTGATTTCTTCCTCCTCTGAACTTCTACAAAATTACAATCTATACTATGTAACTTAGCCCTTAATCATATACAGTCGTCGCCCCTTATCTGCAGGGGATACTTTCCAAAACCCCCAGTGGATACCTGAAACCATGGCTAGTACCAAATCCTATATTTACTATGTTTTCTCCTATACAGACACACCTATGACATAAATTATAAATTAGGCACAGAAAGATTAACACTAATAATAGAACAATTATAACAATGTAAGTAATAGTTAGATGACTACCGTCTCTCTCACAATGTCTTATACTGTACGGAAACTGAAACTGTGGACAAGGAGCTACTACACTCTCATGGTGTCTTCTGTTGCTTTATGTGCACTGGTCTCATCCCATCCATCAGAACGTAAGCTCCGAGAGGCACCCTTCACACTTCATGTGGATCCTCAAGAGAATGTAGCAAAGGCGAACACACAGGCAACAATACCTGTAGATCCGCTGGCTGGACCTTGAGGGATCTTCTTTCCAGGCAGATCCCATGAAGAGAGCCTAACTAAAATAACCTAAGCATAAATGACTAATAAAAGAGCTTGGATGGGCTCCATCTGCCAACCCCACCCTTGGAAATCAAAGGTGTTATCCAGAGAGCAGGTGTGTGGAAAAGTGGAACGGAAAATCTGATACCAAACGATCTACCTTCCAATTTAAACAGGCATTTTAATTCTCTCCCCACTGGGCAGTGCTCTTGACTAATGCGACAAGAGCCACAGTGGTCCCAGTCAGCCTTTCTCAGCTCACCATTCTGAGCCCCTTTCTCACTCCCTCTGACAGAGCTGCCTGTTAGCAGGGTCTGGGTGATGGCACTGACCGCATCCTAGTCGCATGGGGTCCCTCTCCTCTGTGACATCACCTTATCGCCTTACAATCTCCTCACTCCAAGAAATCACCTACTAAGCAAAAACTTAATAACACCCTGTGAGGATTTACTTTCCTCTCCTAGTAACCGAGGTCTCTTCACTGCCTTTGAGTCAGCGAGACTGCCTCCCTGAGGCTCCTCCGGCATCCTGCAGCAATGGGCACAGGAGGCATCGATGCCTTTGGTCACTTTTTCCAACTAACCTTAAAGGGCCTTCAGATGGCAGCATGCCAGCCTGCCTCTGTCGACCAGCTCTGCTACCTGTTTGCATAACTCTCTACCTTTCACTCTATTCAAGGCCTTTCCACCGTAAAAACAGCAAATGTCACAAGAGGCTAGGCCATAACCATAGGTAAATTAGACTTAGGCCCTGTGCAACGAGCTCTCAGTTCATCAGACACGGGGTGATAAAACACTGATGCCAGAGAGAGGTGGCGATACCGTGCACATTTCAGTCAGCTTTGAGAGGTAAGTCTGAGAACCCAGGGGCCTGGGATCTAGTTTCAATTTGCTGTCATCAATCTTAGGCAAGAAATTTGACATCTATAGACTTGTGATTCCCCTTGTATAAAGAAAAGACAAAAAAGACATCCTTTTTGTGTCCCTTTTATCTCAAGATCCCATGATGAGGTAAGAGAGCGAGTGAGTACGTGGGAAGCCAGGGAAGTGGTTTAGATAAATGCATGCCAGTCTTGTTACCATCTTTACCGAGTAATGCTATGGCACAAACTTGACTTTGGGAAATATTTATAAGAAAGAGTCTCAGAAAAAACAAAGAATGAAGGGAGGTAGATGGGAAAGGTTAGGAGACGTACAGTGAAAAAAACACACGTAGAAGAACGCAGCCCGGGGCCCTAAGGTCCCAGGTATGTGGGAAAGAGTGCATGGCCTGCAGAGCGGACAGGCTCACCGTCCTCCGTGTCGTAGGCATAGGCCGAGAGGCGCAGGGTGGTGGCGCAGTACTCGCACTTGAAACAGCTCCGGTGGAAGAACTTGCCCTCGGCACTCAGCCTCTCCATCACGTAGACCCGCTTCTGGCAGAAATAGCACGTGTCGCTGCCTCCTAAGTTCTGTGGGAATTCCTTCTTCATGGAGCCCTGTAGGATGGAGGCAGGGAAGAGGAGCACCTCAGGGCCACTCCTCTCAGGCGCCTGGCTGGCAGTGCACAACCCTCCGTGTAAGGGGACCCGACCCTCACTAAGGGACTTGTCTTGAGACAGACACAAGTATTAGGTGGCTGCGGTTCACTCTGCTTTTGGCTCTCCTGAGAGCAATGGCACCTTTGCAGCAGGTGCATTGTATGTGCCTCTGGACAGTACTCGGCACATGATGGATTCTGAACCAATGTTAATCAACAGCCATGAACAAACTGAGCTAGTTTGCCTCTGATGAAGGATCCAATTTCATAATAATCAAACAGAACTATTTTGACAGAATGCTGTTGTGGCGTAGCATATCTCTAAAAGTGATCACTCTGAAGTCCAGGAGACTCATATATAAATAGTGCATGTAGAACCACATGAACACTGCAAAAAAAAAAAAAAAAAAAAAAAAAACACACACACACATATTTTATTTCTGGACTTCAGAGAGATTGCTTTCAGAGATATTAAGTATGCTTCCCCATACAAAATTCTTAACTACTGCAGTCCTAGAAATTCAATTACGAAAATTCACACAACCTAAAAAAAAATTATCACATGGCATATACTGGCTATACGGATTACCAAGCTGCTTAGGACCAGGTGGGTCTGCCCAGCACAACTGTGCTAGGTCTAACAGGACAGCACCCTGGAGGCATCTCTTACCAGCTCCTTCTTGTCTAGAAGGGTTTTGGGCTGCTCTTTCCTTTGAAGCTGATTGGCTATCTGCTCAGCCAATGAGCTCACTCCGCCCGTGTACATCTTTATATACTTCTATTGGTTGGAGATTATAAAATGACCAGAATAAAGGGAAATGAGAAGGAAAAATAAATAAATTAAGAAAACAAGAAAAAAAAATCTCTGAAAGATGTCAAATGAGCACAAGGTGCAGCAGCAAACCATGCCAACAAAGTGCCACAAGCAGGAGACTGGGCGGTGGAAAAGCCCACACAGAGCTGCCAGCACCGGCAGGAACGGGGACAGCAGGGAACATTATCCTCTGCAGGGGAGAACTTTTTCACATCTTTCTGGAATATGCAGTTCCAGGGGAACAGGGAAGTAGGAAGACAGGATGGATACATTCACAGGACAAAGTAAGAAAGGGAGTCTGTTATGCATAAAGAATTCAAGAGGGACAACTCCCATGCGGACCGGGGTGGCCAGGCTGACCGTGTTTCAAGGTGTGAGAAAGGGCTTGGGAACTTAATCCCCCTTGATAAAAAAAACCAAGCTCTTTCCTGTAAAGGCTGACTCTCCACTTGGGTAACAGATGTCAGGAGCTCCAGTACTACTTGTGACATCTTCCCCCTCCTTATTAACAGTGACCGATAGTGCTGGCTGTATGCAGCACACACTTCCCAGCTTCACTGGGAGGAGCCTGTCAGCCTGTTCTCCCTGCTGATATGTAACGGGGTCTGAGTGGTCCACCAGGCACTCAGGCCAAAGCCTTCTGGACTGGGCAGGGCATCTCAACCACAACCTGCTGCCATGCAGACGGGCTGCCTCAACTAGTCCTGGGAAGTGAGAATGTGTTTCTAGTCCAAGAGGGATTTTTATAGGTTGGGGGGAAAAAAAAAAAAAGCCCAACCAACTCAATCCTTTTTCTGGTAATGCTGAGGAAATAACAGGAGAAGAGTACCAAGTTTTCAGTGTAAGCCATCCTGCTGACACCTAGGCCTGGCACTGAGGCAGCACAGCTCTGAGCCTGTCCCTGGGGACAGAGTCAGAGTCCTGCTGGCAGGAGTCCTTTAGAGACTCTGTGTCCTGGTCACCCTTCCACGTGGAGATGGATGTGACACCTGGTATGTATGACGCTCCTCTCATGAACTACATGGAACAAGGGGGCTCCCTGCCAAGTCTGAGGGACCCCAACTCTAATTCTGACTCAGAAACCCACCAGGAGCAATTACCTTGGAGATATCAACAACCCTGTTGGGAAGTGGTTTAAATGAACAGAGATATGGTCACGTGTAAAAGGATCAGTGGCTTCCACAACAGCACACGGCACGCCCCGGGCTGTGCGGGGAAGATAGGAGAGAGCTATGGGGAACTACTGCTACATAACAAGGGCACAGCGGAAGCACCGACGGGAGAACAGTTCTCTTCTGGCTCAGCTCACAGCTCAACTGGAACTGCAGAATCAACTGTGTTTTTCAATTCAAAAATAAGGGGATTTCCAAGGATTGGTGCCACCTGCCCATTAGCTTCAAAGATTATACCCATCAGTAGTCGGAAAAAACAAGTGGCTCTTAGACCTAAACCCTCTTTAGCTTAGGGACATTACAGAAGCCTAGGCCTGGGGCCGACCGACACCAGGCAGAGCTGAGCAGACAATTTGACAGCTGACGCTGAGGGAGCAGAAAACTGCATTTCTTTCATTCTACAGCAGACACGTGAGGGTGTGGGCCAGACGTCAAACATGAGCCCAGGATGCTGAGTAAGCCACAGGTCCTCGTGGCTCTCCAAGGGCCTTCTCCTCCAGCCACAAACCAACACCCTCAGTGGCTGCAGCCTGGGGCTTCCCGCACGCAGTGTCTGTCACATTCAGTCCTTAGCGACATGGGGACACTGACAAGCATCCTCCCAAGAGGGGGGAAGACTCAAGTTCTATCTGTTCCTGGAATGAAAAGCAGATGGTTTCCTTCTCCCCACTCCTAAAAAACAGCCAGAATGTAGCAATCGCTGCACACACACTACTGCATACCACTCATGCATCTGCCTCCACACACGCATGCTGCAGAGTCTGGCGCTGGCTCAAGAACAGGAAGCGTAAACAGGGCAAGAAGACCCCCCGGCCCACTGTGAACCCTCCACAGCTAGATCAGCAGCACCGCAGGAAACAGCAGAGTTCACTCCCAGAACCCTGCATATTTGCTACTCTATTTGAGAGGTTTAATTCCAGTGTGGTTCATATTCTGTGACACATATTATGACAAAGACATTGGAAGTTAGAAAAGCCAACAGCTGGAAAATGTTTATAATTACTGAAACAGTTAAAATGTAATCAAAGTGGGTTTTACTTTGACAGAATTTGACGTGTTAAACACAATTCAGTGAAAGCGAGCAGGGTCTGCCCGCAGGCCTCGCACGCAAAGCAGACACACACACCACCGGCTCGCTACAGTGACAGGCCGACGTGAAGGCGCCTCAGCCCCCCTCAGGGCAGGTGACGTTTGCAAGAGTGGGCTGAGGAGAGCTGCAGGGACACGCACTCGCCAAGCCCATGCCATGCTACCTGTCGGAGGGAGTCAGAGGAGGGAGAGGCAGGACAGTGGGAGGAGCGCAGACTAAGAGACAGCTCCCACTGGTTGACAAAAGATCGACGCGAAGGTTCAGGCTCTGGCTATAAAATACAAGACGGAGAAAAAAAACCAAAGGAAATGTTAAATTAAAACCTGACAGTTTTAGATCCTTTTACCCTAGACCATTATCTAAATAACACGTATAGTAAAGGAAACTCTTCCCAGAAGCACGAATGAGGGTTCAAGGCTTCCATTCTGCTTTGAACTTGCCCTTTCCTAATGCTGACAGCAAGGCGCGCTCGGGAACGCAGCCCCACGGCTGTGAGCCACTCGCTACAGTCTCGTCCTCTCTTGCTCGGTGTTCCCACTCTGCCCACCCTCTAAGTGGACACCACCACCAGCCAGGAGGCGGTGGAGGCAGAGGCGGTATCCTGCTAGAACACCTGCTCTTCTGCTCTGCAGAGAGACCCTCACTGGCCTGAGTCGGGACTTCTTGTGGGCAAAAAGATTCTACCACCACCACCCCATCACTCCATCTGCCTTACAAATAGCAAGCAACAGAGACAGCAAGCTAGAGTGAAGCTCGCTCTACACACAGGCCAGGAGTACGGCACCTCCTCCTCTCACTTCCAGTGCTCACAGAAGCTCTCCTTGCCAAGGAGCCTGTCAAGTCCTGAGCAATGATGTGGAGAAAAGACTCGAACCCCCAAAGTCCTCCGCAGACTGCGCACAGCACGGGTAGCAAAAGTGTGCCAGGGTCTTCTTCAAAGGTTGGCCCACGCAGCCAGGCTCTCTCCAGTCCCCAGAGTGAGAAGGCAGCAAAAACATTGACTAGCAGTAACTGCTTAGTTTTCTACCAGGTTCAGGATGAAACATTTACAGGATGGAAGGAACAGAGGCTACTGTCCTGGTAATGAGAAGCCCCATGCTCCTGAAGCTCTGGGCAGATCCATCATGCCCCCTACTTCAGCCGGCACCCACTTCATTGCTTCTTGCGGGTGACAAAATGGAGTGCCTCACCAGCCTCTGCTCCAGATGCTCAGCCAGCTCACTGGCCCTGAGCTCAGCACTTGGGGTGGAGCCAGCAATACAAACCCCAGGGAGCTCTGCAGAAGAGTGCCACCCACCAAAAGGAAACAAGAGAGAAGACTCTGCCGTCCCCCTGGGATGGCAGAGCAGTCAAAGCTAGTGAGAGGAGTTGGGAGCTGAGTGGAGGGTGGGGCAGAGAGAGCAGGGGAGTGCACATGCAAGATCATGGGGTAGTGGAGGGAAAGTCCTGGAAAAGAACATAAACAGTGTCCCCCAAAAGCACCTAGCCAGGAGTCCTGTACTGAGGAATCCAGAAACCAGCTCACAGGGAGGGAAAAAGAAAGAAAAATCCCTGCAAACCTTACTGCCTCCTAAACTCAAAACCCTACCTTCTCCCCTCTGCTCTGCAGCCCTAGACTTCAAATTGTTCCTCCCTGCCAATTTCTCCTCTTGTTCAATATACTTCCCTCCCTTCTTTTTTTTTTTTTTGTCTTTTTTCCGTGTCCGGCAACGGATCGCAACCCTCAGTGTCGCCCCCGTACCGGACTGGGACCGGCAACGGGATCGCAACCCTCGGTGTTGCCCCCGCGCCTCGCTCAGCCAGTGAGCGGGAACCGGTCTGTATGTGGGATCCGAACCCTCGGGTGGGAGCGCCGCCGCGCTTCCCAAGCGGTGCACTATCCA